TGCTGAACTTAGTTATTAGGAAAACTCTATGTAGTTATTGTATATAGTTGCAAGAATCTTAATAAAGTACTAGCGTGCCTGCTTAAGAGCAAAAAAAAAAAAAAAAATCTGTTTGATCAAGCTGAAAAAACTTTTCATTAATTTATATATTTTTTAAAATTTTTTAAAACTTTAAAAGATTTTCATCAAACTTGTTTTTAAACTTCTGATGCTTTGTAAAAGAAACTAAAAGATTTTATTAAAAGAAGTATTAACTTGTTTATAAAAATAATTTGTTATTTCATTCAACATTATTTTTTCATCTGTTAAAAAAATTTAAACATCAGTATTCTTTAAAAAAATACAGATCATTAAAATTAAGATATATAACCAACTTCTTCTTTAAAATTAGTATATCTTAATTAATAACTGACCAGGTCAAAAAACTTGCTAAAATTTTGCTAACAAGTATACAAATACAGTAATATGCAACATTTGATATATGTCTAAGCCATGCCAGAACAGATCCAAATACTCTTCTTCTTATATTATAAAAACAAATATAGCAAATTTACTATATATATGTTTCATTCAGAAAAAAATATTGACTATTTTATTTTTTATAAAAACTACTATTTTATAATTTGCTGAGTTTTAATTTTTTAGTTATTTAGTATAATATAAATTTTTAAGCCTAGTAAACTATGTAATTTTCTCTTTATTGTTATCTTATTATAGTTGTTCTATTTTATTTTAAGAATATTGATTTAAAACTAGTTTAAAGCATAAAGAACTTACTAAAGAGAAATTTTTATTATTATTAGAATAGATAAAAAAGTTGATTGTATTGTCAAATTTAAAATACTTGCTCTAAAATTTATATTCATTTAGTTTTTTATATTTAAGTACTTTAATTTATTTGATCTAAGACTGTTAAAAGTCCAATTCTATTTATCCAGACTCTTTAAATAGAAACTTTAATCAGAACTCGATACTTAAGTTGATCTTTAAGTTATAATAATATGATAATCTTTATCATTATTATTACATATTCAAAAAATATTTATTATCATTAAACTTATTATTATTATTAAAAACTAACACTAATTATTATTTTTATTTTATATTTATTTCAAAATTTCTGTCTCAAACCAACTTTTAATATACAGAATAGTCTTTGTAAATTCTTTAAGATGACTATTTCTTATAAGATTTATCATATATTTTATTACAAAAAGGTATGCTCACATGGAACATTTGTAGCTTGCAGTGCAAAGTAGTTTGTTGTTATTAAAGTTATATTTAAAAAATAATAAGCTTTTATTTTCTATTACAATAATGAATTAGTATATAATTCTGTAAATAATGAAAAATAGGCTACTAATTTATTTGATGAAGCTTGATTATCTTGACTTGACTTTTTCAGATTCTTAAAATACTTTAATAAATCTTTTTTAAGCTCTACTGTTGTTTTATTCATTAACTAAAATGAATATAAAATTTTTAAACTTTCAATAGCTAACTAATAATCTTTTTTATTAAAAATTTTGAATTTAGTAAACAGATTAAATAAAGCTAAAATAGTCAAGAATTTAGAAAAATAAGTTCAGTATTTTAATAATTTTTTTTTTAATTTCTTGAGTCATTTTATGATATATAGTTGTATTTGTAGTTTTATTATTATTATCAAAATAGGTTAGAAGTCTTTGAAAAATTATTTATAATAGATTGTATAAAGATAATGATATTTTTGACAATTTTGATATCACTTTATAGAAAAGTTCAAGAAACTGAACTATTTTATTAACTACTTTCCAATTTTCTGATTCTAAATATTTTTTTTAAATTAAGATAAATTAATACTAAATAGTCTATAATATTCTTAATTTCTATAAGTCATTTTAATATAAGATAGATAGAATTTTATTTTGTTTTAACATCAAATTTAGAATAAATAATTAATTAATTAAAAATTATAAAAATTTATTTTATTTCTTTTAGAAAAGTAGATGAGTTTCTAATTTTATTGTAGATATACTACATCTGTTTTATCTGTTTACTAAAATATTTTTGTATTTCTTTTATAGCAAGTTTTAAAATATATGTAATATATCTTATGTATATAAAATTAGAATTAATATAATCTTAAAGATAACATAAGTAAGTATATTTGATTATTTGATATATTATTATTAATAAAGCCTAGAATTTTATCTTTTATTTCTAGATCTTTCATAAACTCAACCAATTTTTTTTCAAGATATGTGCTGGTATAGGATTTGTGTAAAGATATAAAATTAAAAAGAAAAATTTTCATCATCTATTTTATATCTATTCAGTGAACTGTAACTTCAAGAAATTGTTATTAATTACATACGATTTAAATATTGATAATAAGTGTTAGTTTACTGTAATTTGATTTTAATATATTTTTTATTTTTATTCTTATTGATTTGAATTTTTTTTTGATAGTCATAGAAACTGTTTGATGACAGAGTAACTTATATTATGGATCAAGATTTGAAATAAATTTAATAAAAGGATCTTAATCAACTATTAAAAAAACTAATTTACTTTTAATGATTAATTTATATAGAGTATAGTTTAAAGATTCGATATATTCTTTTCAGACTTTATCTGTTGTTGAGTATATGACACAAATAACTTTAAGATTTTTGTACTAAAAATTTCTATAAAGATTTGGATATTTACTTTCAAATTGCATAAGATTGTTAACAGTGATATACCTGCACTCAATTTATTAGGTTTGTTGTCAGAGTTATTAGAACATATTTTGCAAACTGGATAATATTTTCATTTAATTTAAGGTAATCATGAATAGGTAATATTTTTTTTTGATTTTTTTGAACCATTAATATTTTATTCATTTAGAGAACTATAATTATTAGTAGATTTATTATTAATATCATTTTCATTTAGAGAATTGAGAACTAATGAAGAAATAAGGCAGAACATGATTTTAGAGATTTTAATGTTGTAAAAAAAATTTTTTTTAAAAATGAGATGTAATATCAACAAAAAAATGATAATCTTTTATTTGTTTTATTTATTACATATTACAATAAAAAAAAATTTAATAAACCTTCATGAAATTAAAAATTTTTATTAAATAATTAAATTGCAAAATTAATATACAATTAATTAATATAAAATTAATATTAATAATACTGCAAAACCCTTGCAAGACTAATTCTTAAAAGCTCCCCTCACAAGTCTAATTTTAATGGTTCCCTCTTGCAAGACTAGTTCCCCCCGCAAGACTACTTTTTAATAGTTCCTATCCGCAAGACTGATTTTTAATAGTCCTCCTGCAAGACTAATTTTTAATAGTCCCCCGCGAAATTTCATGGATCGGCGTAAAATTAGCCAATCAAAATGACCAATTACCGGACAAAGGACATGCCGAAGTCGACTTCGAGTTGGTCCTAAAAAGTTCTGAGAGTCGACTCAAGGACCGGGTCCTACGAGCTTTTTCACAGCCCTAATTTGATCTATACCAGTGGATTTTAATAGTAGCAAAAATAGCACTAGCGATATCACGACAACCACATAACCAAATCTGATCAAAATTGG